CCCTCTGGGGCTGCAGGGGTTGGTTCAATATTCACAAATCAATCAACATGGTATACAACATCAATAAAAGAAAGGATAAGAGCCATATGATTCTCTCAATAGATATAGAAAAAAAATATCATTTGACAAATTACAGCATCAATTCTTGAAAAAAAACCTTCAACAAAGTAGGGATAGAGGGAACATAACCTGACATCATAAAGACATATATGAGAGATCCACAACTAAGATGATTCTCAGTGGGGAAAAACTGAGAACTTTAACTCTATGGTCTGGCACAAGGCAGAGATATTTACTGTCTCCACTACTGTTTAACATAGTACTGAAAGTCTTAGTCTCAGCAATAAGAAAAGAAAACAAAGCAAAAAATAAGTAAAAGTCATCTAAATGGGCAAGGAAGAAGCCAAACTTTCACTATTTGCAGACATGATACTCTATGTAGAAGATCCAAAAGACTGCATCAAGAAATTGTTAGAACTCACACATGAATTCAGCAAAGTTGTAGGATACAAAATCAAGATACAGAAATTTGTTGCATTTCTATACACCAAAAATGAAGCAGCAGAAAAATAAATCAAGGAATCAATCCCATTTATAATTGCACAAAATCTATAAGATATCTAGGAATAAACCTCACCAAAGAGGTGGAAGATCTATACTCTGAAAACTGTAGAACACTTATGAAGGAAATTGAGGATGACACAAAGAAATGAGGAAAAATTCCATACTCATGGATTGGAAAAACAAAGATTTTTAAAATGTCAATAGCACCCAAAGCATTGTACATATTTAGTGTAACCCCTATCAAAATACTAAGTGCACTTTTCACAGACCTAGAAGATACAGTCCTAAAATTTGTATGGAAGCACAAAAGACCCTGAGTAGCCAAAGCAAACCTGAAAAAGTAAAACACAGCTGGAGGCATCACAGTTCTGGACTTCAAACTCTATTACAAAACTGTATTCATCAAGATAGTATAGTACTAGCACAAAAACAGACACATAGATCCATGGAACAGAATAGTGAAACTGGAAATGGACCCTTAACTCTATGTCAACTAATCTATCTGTGGATGAATGGATAAAGAAGATGTGATGTATATATATCAATATTATTCAGCCATTAAAAAAACTGAGATGCTGCCATTTGCAATGATGTGGATGGAACTACAGGGTATTGTGCTAAGCAAAATAAGTCAGAGAAATATAATTATCATATGATCTCACTGGTATGTGGAATTTAAGAAACAAGGCAGAGGATCATAAAGGATGAGAGGGAAAAAAATGAAACAAGATGAAACCAAAGAGGGAGACAAACCATAAGAGACTCCCAGGGTTGCTGGGAGTGGAGTGGGGGATGGGGTACCTGGATAATGGACATTGAGGAGGATATGTGTTGTAATGAGCACTGGATATTATATAAGAATGATGAATCACCAACCTGTGTCCCTGAAACAAATAATACATTACATGTTAATTAATTGAATTTAAAAAAAAGAACAGAGAACCCAGAAATGGGCCCACAATTATATGGTCAATAAACCTTCCACAAAGCAGGAAAGAATATCCAACGGAAGAAAGGCAGTCTCATCAACGAATGATGTTGGGAAAACTGGACAGCAACATGCATAAAAATGAAACTGGAAAACTTTCTTTCACTATACACAAAAATAAATTTTAAATGGATGAAAGATCAAATTATGGAAAGTGCTGAAATTTACACTGACTGTTTAATGGATAAAGACGTGGCATAATAGAAGAGTTAAGATGGCGGTATAGTAGAGGGACCCTGAACCTGCCTCATCCTTCAAATACAGCTAGATCAACATTCAACTATTTCAAACAACTGGGGAAATGATCTGAGGATTGAGGAAATAATCTGCACAATTGGAGGGAGAGAATGTGGCCAATGTGAGGTTCTGAGCCATGAATTGGAGGTGAGGAAAGTCATGTGGCCGTGAAGGGAAGGGAATCCTTTTTGTGGAGCAAAGTCAGGAACAAGAAGAAAGTGGGAAAGAGTCCAGGAGGGTAGGGACAATACAGTTAGCTTTGGTTAGGGGATCCCCTGAGTCACACAGGTAGAGATTACTCCCCTTCCTGGAGGGCATTTGAAAAAGTGTATTTCGCTTCTCCAAAGACAAAAGTCCAGCTGAGAGCAATTGAGCAGTGTTCAACAGCAGAGTCAGAGGTGTGTGCAGAGGTAAGAAAACCTCTTAACATCTTCTTTCAATGTGAGCCACAAAAAGCTTAAACCTCTCTGTGTGTGCCACTGTGACGGCTTTTCTGGGACAGAATAGGGTAGGGGACTGAATCACAGGCAGACGGCCAATAACCTAGTTCCAGCTTTTCACTGAGCTTTACGATAAACTCTATCCTCTGTATACACACTGTATGACTGTTTTTTTGGGGGAGGGATGGGACAGTTCTCGGCATGCACCAGCATCTCCTCCAGGATAGGGGAGTGGATCCCCAACTTGTCAGACCATTTAAAACTTGGTGTTTGCAATCCCAGCCACCTGCCAGAGATAAAATTCAGGAGATCTGTGGCTCTGGGTATGCCATCGGCCCGGACACAGGTTAAGGGAAGGGTACTGACAAAACCCTTGGACACAAGGGGTTGTTCACTTTTTAATTTTTTTGGTAGTTTCAATTTTTTAATTTTTTATGTTGTTGTTGATGATGATGATGATGATGATGATGATCAGTTAGCCACCATATAGTACATTGGTTGCTCACACTTTTTTAATAGGACCTCCTGAACAACGGTGGCTGGGAGTTCTGCTCCCTAGGGACAAGAAGGTAGGGTGATGCCATATTCTTCCTCCTCCAACACCCCTTTCTGCCCCCCGCCCAACAGCAGTGTTGGAATTCAGAGAGAAACACAGCGCCTCCAGTGGAGGCTGGCATCCACTACACTAAACCCCATCCCCCTTGCACCTGGTTCAAGCATCTTTTCAGGGGCAAGTCAGCTTCTGATCCAGCCTAGCAGGACTTTCCCTCAGATCAACAGACCCCCACATGCACCAAATCTACCGATTAAAGAAAGCTCTAAAATAACAGCTTCCTGTGGAAATAGGACAGGTTTGTTTCATTTTTTTTTGTCCTCTCTTCTTGATATTTAAAAACGTTTTAATTTAATTTTTTTTCTATTTCTAATATTTATTTGTTATCCTTTATTATATATAATAAACATTATATATAAAAATATAATAGATAATATATATAAATATATAATAATATATTAGACTATATATATTATTTTCTCTATCTTTTTTATCAGGCATATAGTCTTTTTTTCATATGTTGTTTTGTTTGTTACCTTCTCTTATTTTTCAGATGAGGGTATTTAGCTATTTTTTTCTCTTCTTTCCTTACTCTTTTTTTTTTTTTTGGTCTTCCTTCTTTCTTATTTTTTTAGACTCAGGCTTATAGTTTATTGTTTGTCTGTTTCTTCACATTTTGGTTCCTTTTTCTTTTCTCTTGTTTTGGATCAGACTTTTTGGTTTTTGTTTGTTTGTGTTTCTTTTAATTTTTTCTTCTTTTCTTTTTTCTTCATGGCTTTATCTTGACAAACAAATCAAAGCACATGTACTTAAAGGTATAAACACTCCCCACTACAAGCAAGAATGAACTCTGTAGAAGAAGGAACAGTGGGAAAGAACAGCTAAAACACAACAACAGAGTGTACACAGTATACACCAGAAACACTTCCTGAAGTTCTTGTTGTTGTTGTCACAGCTGGGTTTTTCTTTTCTTTCTTTCTTTCTTTCTTTCTTTCTTTCTTTCTTTCTTTCTTTCTTTCTTCTTTCTTTTTCTTCCTCCTTCCTTTTCTGGGCAAAATGACTAGACAGAAAAATTCACCCCAAAAGAACAGGAAGTAATACCACCAGGAACTTAAACAATACAGATATAAGTAAAATGTCTGAACTAGAGTTTAGATCAACAATTATAAAGATACTAGCTCGGTTTGAAAAAAGCATAGAAGAAACTGGAGAATGCCTTACAGTAGAAATAAATCCATAGTTATATGGTCAATTAATCTAGCAAAGGAGACAAGAATATAGAATGATAAAAAGAAAGTCTTTTCATCAAATGGTGTTGGGAAAACTTAACAACCACATATAAAAGAATTAGAGTGCACTACTTTCTAACACCATACACAGAAATAAATTCAAAATGGATTAAAGACCTAAATGTGACACCTGAAACTATAAAAATCCTAAAAGAGAGCACAGGCAATAATTTCTCTGACATTAACCAAAGCAACATTTTTTAAAATATAGATTTCCTAAGGAAAGGGAAACAAAAGCAAAATTGAATTATTATAACTATATCAAAAAAAAGTTTTGTACAACAAACCATCAACAAAACAAAAAGAAAACTTATTTAATGGTAGAAGGTATGTGTAAATGATATATCCTATAAGGGGTCAGTCTCATAATATATAAAGAACTCATACAACTCAAGACCAAAAAACTAAACAATCTGATTAAAAAGGGAAAATGTCCTGAATAGACATTTTTCCAAAGAAGACATACAGATTACTAACTGACACATGAAAAGTTTATCCACGTCAGTCATTGTCATCAGGGAAATGCAAATCAAAACCACAATGAGAAAGCACCTCACATGAGTTAGAATGGCTAAAGTCAAAATTATAATAATTAATAAGTGTTGATGAAAATGTGGAGAAAAAATAACCCTTGTGTACTCTTGGTGGGAATGTAAATTGGTATAGTTGTTGTGGAAAATACTATGGAGATTCCTCAAAAAATTAAAAAAAATAAAAATACCATATGATCCAATAATGCCACTATTGGGTATTTATGTCCCCAAATACAAAACTTAATGCAAAAAGATATATGCAACCCCAAGTTTATTGTAGCATTATTTACAATAGTCAAGATATAGAAGCGACCTAAGTGTTCATCCATAGTTGAAAAGATAAAGAAGAAACAGTATAGAGCCCAGCTTCATGAAGGCTCTAAGTACCCCACGGACCTCAGGCACCCAGCATGTGCCAGCCCTATTGCCATGATGCCCAAGAGAAAGTTCAGCTCCACTGAAGGGGTGGTGAAGAAGGAGCCCAAGAGGAGATTGGTGAAGTTGTTAGTCAAATGTGCTCCTGCAAAGTGGAAACAAAAAAGTCAGAGAATGTGGCAGGAAGGAATAAATCTTCAGGCAACAAAGAAAGTGGAAACAAAGGGGGATGGGGGACCAAAAGGAAAACAGGCTGAAGTGGCTAACCAAGAAATGAAAGAAGAGTTACTTACAGGAAAAGGAGTAACTAAAGAGGAGGAGAGTGTAACCTCTAATGAAGCAGGAGAGAAAGAAGCCAAGTCTGATGAATATCATATACTATGTCTTATCAGTGGTCTTTGTCTCCTCTCTTGTACAATCCAGAGGAATATTTTTATCAACTATTCTGTAAATGCAAGTTTCTTAGTAGCTCTAGAAAAATTTTGAGAGGGAGAGAATCCACCTTTTGCCTTTTTTTAGGTATAGTTTTTTTAAGAGGTGAAATAACTTTCTGGTTGTTTATTTTTTGTTACAACCAGAAAATAGTGGTATATTGGATATGGGAGGCTTTGATTGTCTTGAGTGTCAGCTTAACATTTCATAGATGAGTTAGTATTTATATCCTGTAATACAAATCATATTAAATGGCAATTTGAAGTCAGTTGTGCATTTAATATATCTTGAACATTTTAAATTACTCCTGTTCCCATGTTATTTTGGTGGAATTGTTTTACTCCTTGATCTTCACTTTCCCTGGCTGAATTTTGTACACTATGTAACATCTTGGTCATGGTGATCCAGTTTTCCTAGTAACTTTATTAATGTGGTGTACAAGATTGAAAATTTGAGTATGTACTCTATATTATATTAATTATTAATTAGTCGGACTCAACAACATAACAGTGTATCAACATTTGAAGATATTTTTTAGTTGATATATTGTTAATGAAAATGTGTCTCCAAATTTTAAGCCAGAAGTTCACTAGAATGACTTTACAACTGATTTTTTTAAGATTTTCAGCACATATGTTAAGAATTGTGTACAAATTGAAACTTTTGTACTAGTCCTCAAAACAACCAATAAAAACTCAATAATGAAAAAAAAGAAGTGGGATGTATACCCAGTGAAATATTAATGACCCATAAAGAATGAAATTTTGTCATTTGAATAACATGGGTAGGTCTAGGGAATATTATGCTAAGTGAAATATGTCAAATGCCATATGATTTTACTCATAAGTGGATTTAAAAAAACACAACAAATGAATAAACAAAAAAAGCAGAATTGGAGGCCTATGGGTGGCCCAGTCAATGAGCACCCAACTCTTGCTTTCAGCTCAGGTGATGACCTCGTGGGTGTGGGATCAGGCCTCAGGTTGGTCTCTGCATTCAGCACAGAACCTGATTCAGATTTTCCCTTCCCTCTCACTTTCCCTTTCTTTCTCTTTCTCTGTCTTTTTCTCTCAAATAAACACATAAATACATAAACAAACAAACAAATGAACAAAAATAATTTTTAAAAAAGCAGAATCAGATTTATAAATATGGACAATAAACTGACAGATGTCAGAGGAGAAGGGGTGGAGGTAGGGCAAAAGGGGCAAAGGGAAGTGGTAGATACAGGGTTCCATTTATGGACTGAATAAGTCATGGGAGTAAAAGTCCCAACATAATTAATATGGTCAATGGTACTGTAATAGTGATGTATCCATATGATGGTAGCTACATTCGTAGTGAACATACTATAATGTATAAACTTGTTGAATCCTTATGTTGTATACCCAAAACTAATGTAACATTGTGTGTCAGCTATACTAAATAATAATCATTTAAAAAGCAGAAAAGAGAACACAGAAATAAACTTTCATATATATGTGGCCAAATAATTGTCATCAAGACAGACAAGACAATTCCATTGGTGAAAAGACAATTTTTTTTCAACAAAAGGTGCTAGGAAAACTGGATACACACATGCAAAATAATAAGGTTGTACCCATGACCTCACCATATACAAAAGTTAACTCAAATTAATCAAAGACATATACATAAGAAAAAAAAACTTTGTAAAACTCTTAAAAGAAAATGTATGGGGAAAGCTTCATAAGAATGGACTTGGCAATGATTTCTTAAATATGGAAACCAAAATCATAGGCAACAAAAGAAAAAGAGATAAATTGTACTTCATCAAAATGAAATACTATGTGCATCAAAGAACACTATCATGAGAGTAGGAGAAAATGTTTCCAAATTGTTTTGATAAGGGTTAATATTTGGAATGTATTTTATAGTATTTAAGGTATGGGAACAACCTTAAACATTGATGGATAAATAGATAAAGAAGATGTCACACACACACACACACACACACACACACACACACACACACTGAAATATTACTCTGCAATAGAAAGAATGCAGTCTGGCTATTTGCAACAGCATGGATGGACCTTGAGGGTATTATGCTACCTGAAATAAATCATGCTAAGAAAGACAGATATCATATAACATTACTTACATGTGCAACCTAAAACAATAAATAAATTAAAAGTGGAATCACGTCTATAAATACAGAGAACAAACTGATGGGTGCCAGATCTAATAGTGGTATGGGATGGGCAAGAATTGGAGATACAGATTTCTGGTTATGGAATAAATAAACCATGAGAATAAAAGGTGCAAAATAAGGAATATGGTCATTGAGACTGTCATAGCATTGCATGGTGACAGATGATAGCTGCACTTTTGGTGAGCATAGCATAATGTATAAACTTGTTGAATAACTATGTTGTACACCAGACACTAATACAATAATGTTTGTCAACTATGGTAAAAAAATTAAATAAAACACATATCAAAAGATAAGAATATTCCTCCAATGATTCAGCTCAAAGGCCTGGAATTTTGTTATCTGTGTGATTAAAAAAAAAATTCAAATGACATTTTTGAGGAACCAAACAAGCCACAAGAAAACAAAGAAAAACAATTCAGCACAATCAGGGAAACATAACAAGACCAAATTGTTAAGTTTTAAAAACGTGGAAATCATTAAAAAATAAAATCCAAAACTGAAGATTTCATTAAATGAAAAAGTGCAATAGATAAAAGCTACAGCCAAGTACTGCAACTGAAACAGTAAGTTATGCAAAGTACAAGAACTTTTACACAACTCAAAAGAATAACAAAAAAATAATGAATAAGAGAAAGAAAGGCTATCATCGATGACATTCATATAAACAAACATATATTAGAATAATTGAAGTTCCAAAACTAGGCGAGAGGAAGAAATGAGCACAAAGTTTATTTAAGGAAATAATACCTGAGAACATCCTAGAAGTGGGGGGAAAGACTTCAACATCCGAATTCATGAAGCTGAATGATCACCTCATCATTTCAATGGAAATATATCTTCTATAAGATACATTACAACAAATTGTTGAAAATTGAATACAAAGAAAAAAGACTGTAATCTACAGAAAGCCCCCATTAGGCTCAATAATTTTCTCTACAAAACCTGTACAGAACAAGAGAGAGAGAGGAGTTCCACATCCAAAATATTAAAGAACGGGGTGCCTGGGTGGCTCAGTGGTTTAAGCCTCTGCCTTCCGCTAGGGTCATGATCTCAGGATCCTGGGATCAAGCCCCGCATTGGGCTCTCTGCTCAGCAGGGAGTTGGCTTCCCCAACCCCCTCTGCCTGCCTCTCTGCCTACTTGTGCTCACTCTCTCTCTCTCTCTCTCTCTCTCTCTGTGTGTGTCAAATAAATAAATAAATAAATAATCTTTAAAAAAAAATTAAAGAAAAAGGTTGCCAGATAAGGAACTCTATATGCCAAAACTAACTTTCAGATATGGAGGAGAAATAAATATTTTACCAGAAAAACAAAAACTTTGGGAATTCATCACTATTAGAACTGCAATGCAAACAAACAAACAAACAAAAAACAAAACAAAACAAAAAAAACCCTCATATTAGATCTTTTTATCTTTTTCTTTCAGTGTTTCAAGATTCATTGTTTATGCACCACAGCCAATGCTCCATGTAATACGTGCCCTCCTTAATATGCACCACCAGGCTCACCAATTTCCCCAATCCCCTCCCCTCCAAAACTCTCAGAGTCCACAGTCTCTCACTGTTTGTCTCCCCCTCTGATTTCCCCCAACTCACTTCTTCTCTCCATCTCCTGATGTCCTCTGTGTTATTCCTTATGATCCACAAGTAAGTGAAACCGTATGATAATTGACTTTCTCTGCTTGACTGATTTCACTAGCATAATCTCCTTCAGTCCCATCCGTGTTGATGCAAAAGTTGGGTATTCATCCTTTCTGATGGAGGCATAATATTCCATTATATATATGGACCACATCTTCTTTTTCCACTCATCTGTTGAAGGGCATCTTGGCTCTTTCCACAGTTTGGGGATTGTGGCCATTGCTGCTATGAACATTGTGGTACAGATGGCCCTTCTTTTCACTACATCTGTATCTTTGGAGTAAATACCCAGTAGTGCAATTGCAGGGTCATAGGGAAGGTCTTTTTTTAATTTCTTAAGGAATGTCCACACTGTTTTCCAAAGAAGTGGCTGCACCAACTTGCATTCCCACCAACAGTGTAAGAAGGTTCCCCTTTCTCCACATCCTCTCCAGCACTTGTTGTTTCCTATCTTGTTAATCTTGGACATTTCTAATAGGGGTAAGGTGGTATCTCAATGTGATTTTGATTTGAGTTTCCCTGATGGCTAATGATGATGAACATTTTTTCATGTGTCTGTTAGCCATTTGTATGTATTCTTTGAAGAAATGTTTGTTTGTGTCTTCTGCCCATTTTTTTGTCATGATTATTTTTTTTTGGGTGTTGAGCTTGAGGAGTTCTTTACAGATTTTAAAAAATTTATTTATTTAAATACAATTTAGTTAACATAAAGTGCATTATTAGTTTCTGGGGTTGAATTTAGTGCTCCATTAGTTGCATATAATGCCCAGTGCTTATTAGATCAAGTGCCCTCCTTAATGCCCATCTCC